GACCTCTTGTATTGTATTTATTATCCAATATCAATAACATATTTTCTCCCGTGCCTTCTCACACAAGGAAATGGATTAAAAAAACTCAATTACATCATAATAGTGTAAGAGGGATTTAGAATCATAAATAGTTTAAACTTCCGAATAATAACTTCAGAAAGAAAAAAGAAGAATAAAAAATAGGTTTTATGAAATGATAGAAATTTTACCATTGTTGAGTTCTCACTAGTGCGGGCATCGATAGGACCAGAAGCCACTGCATCTAACACACCATACATTTCGATGTTGCCTCCAAAGTTGTGCAGCATACACCTTTTATATTTTGTAACATTGGGAAAAAAATTGTTGATATTCAAGCTTCAATAATAAGTGAAAATAACATTTCCAGAAACCAAACTATATACAGCTGCTTCTACAAAGAACCCTCTGATTACCAGATATAAGGAGTGCCATAGAATTGAGAGGATGATTTCCATATTGGTTTGACATCAGCAAAGAGATCAAGAACTATCATCTTGCCACGTGGAACAGAATGTAGAAGTGCCTGTTTAGAAGCAGAAAGTTAAAATTATGTAAGAACAATCGATGTTAATTATAAAATCTGATGGGAAAAATAGGGGTGCGATGTTTCGTTCTGTCCTTTTTGTTGATAAAAGAGTGACTTTACCAATATGGCACGAATGAGGAGATCATTTTGTCCTCTAAATTGAGTGTTTTGTAGCATCAGAAAAATCAGTGTTTTCCATTCACGTAGGTAACATGGGCAATATTCTTCTGAATAGGTAAGTAGTCACCACGTAAATGAGAAAACCTGTCAATCCCTTAGATGTTTAGAAAGTGTTATTTAGTACTATCCAAGTACACTGCATTACTGAACAAAGAAAGCTCCCCAAGGTATCCATTTTTTTAATGACCGACATCAAGAGCACGATACCATCACATACCTTTTCTTTGATAAGTGATACTATCACATAACTAAAAAGGAGATAAAGAAATGTAAGAATCTCGCACTCGCATATACTTCAAATCATGGACAATTCTATTTCTAATTTTCTCCTGATACATCTCACTCAGTGTTTCAGCGGATATATGCATATAAGCAGTGGCAGAATCAGAAGCGCAGATGGAATTGCGTGTGGGCCAGTGACATAGCATGAAACATTTAGTAACACCTTTCTGAGCTGTAAGTTGTGAAAAAAATAAGATCATAACTTGACGAAAACAAGACACCTATATATATAGGTGTCAAACACTGTCCTATGTGGGACGATATGCAACCTAAAATAATCTGACATTCTAACACTAACACTTCAATTCTAACAAGCACCCTCAAACTGAAATGCGGGGAATCAACTTGACTTCACTTATTTTGTTTAACATAGAAAATTAAATAACCACATAATAGTATTGCCAGGACAACTATCAGAAAATTTTGCCAGAAAGTCGTCGCAAAAGTTATGGTCGAAGGAATCTCGATGGAAAAGTTTTGATTGCCACAGACTCGACGAAAAAGTACATAGCAAAGTGACTGTAGTAGTAGGCGCAAAAGGCGACCTCACCTCAACGGCAACCAAAGAAAAGAGCCATTGGTGCAACCAGGATGGTTACCTAAAATATGCAGTCATCAGAAAATGGTGCAGTGGCACTGGAACAATCATCAGAAATCCACAAAACAATAACCAGAGAAGAGGCACAGTGCCACTAAAGCAGTCACAGTAAATAGGTCTGGTGACCCCAAAATGATCACCCGAAATAGGAAAGGTGTGCCAGAGTAATCACCAGATATAAGGAGCGGTACCTCTGGAACAATTGCCACAAACAAATAAGAATAGGTGAACTATGAAAAGAGTGTTATAAAATTAAGCAAAGAATGAAAAACTTTGCTCGTGCAGACAACATAAGATTGCCATCCAGTAAGACAAGAGCAGAAGCTACTTGGTTCTCAATCAAAACCGCAGAAACTGATACCATGTGAGAAAATAAGAGAAGAGAGAAATGTATTGATGACTGGACAATTTGAATACAAGACAAACCTATTACTCCCTCCCTTCCAGTTTATGTGAACTTATTTCCTTTTTGGTCCGTTCCAAAAAGAATGACTTCTTTCTAAATTTGGAAGCAATTTAGCTTAAACGTCCAATTCTACCCTTAATGAAAAGCTTTTATAACCACACAAATTCCAAAAGTCTTCATTTTTTTCTTAAACTCCGTGCCCAGTCAAATATGTTCACATAAATTGGAACGGAGGGAGTAATAAGTATCAAATCAAATACATATGATATTATCAAATGTCAGACAATATATAACTAAAGAATTTACAATAAAAAAATAACTTAAGAATTTATAACAATAACACTTAACATTGTAACACAACTGATAAAAAATTATGAAGCAATAAATGGATTTACTAACTGAAAGTACAAAATGACATGGCGGTCTGACCATATCATATAAGGAAATAAGATTACTTTTCTACAGAATTGTACCTCCATCTGCGGTGGCTTCCAGTATTTGGAGTCAGAATAAAATAGCCAACCCTGCATATCGCCAATCAAATAGAAGTTCGTTCATGACTTCATGCAGCAATCCCGAATCACAAAGCTAGCTTTTAATGTAGACTAGAGCAAAGAGGCCAATCACAAGAAAAGTTTGTCTCAAGGCAAATTTTTATACAAAAATCAATACCAGGTAAATAGATTCATTGACAAATGAACTCTCATTCACCACAAGATTCAGACTTAATGACATAATAATCCATCTGTAGTTTGCTAAAAACTAATGAAAGAAAATCTCTTGTTATTGATTCAACTTTTACTCTAAGCACCTAGGATCCAAGATTCACATGCATAATGATATTTTGTAGAAGTAATAACACTGTTAGTTTACAGATATGTATAATGTAGTCTTGTCCCACATTGGAAGAGGAGTAATATCTCCTTGTAGTGTATAGCTATAAATAGGGACCTCTTTTTTTTTGATAAGGTAAAATTGTATTAATCAAAAGGGAGAGAACTCCCGTGTACACAAAGTATACCAAAGACGTAGAGAATTTACATCAGAACATGATTCTCTACAAAAAACGTCCAATCTTCTATACAAGTAGGGGCTAAGTGAGTGCACCAAAAAGCGATCAAAAATAAAAGGCTATTCTTAAGATGTGAAAAAGGAGACTCAATCTCCTCAAAAGCTCTCCTATTTC